TTTCGTTAGAAAATCGGTTGGACACCTGGAAAGGTTCCCTCGCATCAGAAAACTTATTTTAGTGTATCTTGGCAAACTTTGAAAAAAAGTTTGAATTCGCTGAAAATACTTTAGAAAGTTGACTATTTCAAACCTCATCAGTGTTTTTCGTATATCCATCCACTTTTACAATAAAACACTCAATACGGTTTTTGTGAAGAATTTCAAGACGCATCTTGTGGTATTTGAATGAACTCAAACGGATGAAACGCGACTGAGAAAAATCGAAAATAAAAAGTGACACATTTTTACTGGACCATCTGATATTGCAGTTTAAATTTTCGAAATCCCAACTAGTTCTTCAACGATTCATCTATATCCTACGGTTGACAGAGATTATTGAGCTTTACTTTTTTGAAACACCGCCAGTTTTGACTATTGAATGATGAAGACCACAGGCCTCCTTCATGTATCTATTAAAAGTTATTCAAAAATACCTATGAGACATTCTACTTTACATAGAAAATAATTTAATGGTCTTGCGCGGTATGAAATCTGAGAATTTCATTTCAAAAAGCAATAGAGGTCAGTTAATACTTTTATCTTCAACTTCTTCTAAGGTAACAGAACTCTTGTTTCTTACTTTAAAACATTTGACATCTCTGGCATATGCAGCAATTGTGTCGACTTTAGCCAGTTTACTGACAACTAATAAATGGGTTAAATCTTCTAAATCAACCAAACCATTTCTTGCCAATAAAAAATCAAAATCGGCATGAAATAAGATATGATGTCGTTGAAAATGTTTTATTAGCGGTTTTTCATCAATTGAACCGTTCTCTTTCAATAGTTGTGAAATATTTTTTGTTATGTGTTTAATTATCTCCAATGAATTACCTGATTCGATAATATCCAATTCTTTAATAAATTTTTGATGTACTTCTTGAGAATAGCCACCTTTTTCAATGAGTACATGTAATTGATCACGTGGTATCTTTGATTTGATATATTGATTTCTCAAATTTGATAAATTTAATTTTTCAACTTTTACTCTTGATTCAAATTCAAGTGGAATTATACCATCGAAACTAAATGAATGCAAATGTGTATTAGATATTATTGGACGATTTATATCAATTGATTTTGATTTCAACGCATTATCAACTTTTTTTTCTAAAGTTTCTTTTTGTATTTTAGCCGTTTTTAATTGATCACCGAGTACACCAGCTTTAACAACTTGACGACGTTTCATATTCTGATTAATAGTTACGTCAAGCTAAGGATAAATTATTCTAAATAATAGATGTAATAATCTTATCTTATTTCTTACTTGCGTTGCTGTTAAATGTGGTTTATTCAATATATCCCACAGGATTTGTTCAGCAATAACGGTTTTAAATTCTCCACCATTTTTTACTATATCTTCACTAATATAATCATTCAAAAAAAAATCTTTTGCCGATCTTAATACTTGTTCAATAGTCAAATAACCTTCTTTAACTGTTTGCCTATACAAATGATTTAATTTTATTGATTGTTGTTGATTTGTACTACCTTCCGAATTTCTTTTATATTGTTCTAAAATTGTTTTTAATGTTTGATCTTCAATTTGACCTTCTCCACGAATGAGTTTAATCATCATATAAAATAAAAAGATTGCTTGTTGTTCAGGAGTTGTCGATTTTAATTCTTTTACTTGTATGAGAGTATAATGTGTGGTTAACAATGGTGAAATGATATTTAAACGTCTCAATTCATTGACAACATCAAGACGACATGGTATAGGATATGTGTCTAGGTAATGATTCAAATCTTTAATGGTTAATTTCTTCTGTTTTTTACGAGCTTTGATTAGTAATAAAAGCGTTTTAATATCGTTTTCGACAACAAGTTGAGCTTTGTAAATTGCTGGAATAAAACAAAGATAGTCAACAAAACAAACTTTCTATTGTGTTTTTTTTTCGAATTCGGGACTTCAGATTTAATACGTCATCAATTCAGGTTCTTTCTTGTTCCTCCTTGCTAAGACATCACTCTCTCTCTCTTTCTTTCTATCAATGATATTCTTATTATTTGTACCATTTGTCTCTTACAACTCCCTACAACACAGTTGCTCTACAAATGACGAACTCATGGAGAGATTGTTCTTCAGTTTAATAAATATCCGATAAAAACTTATTTGTGAGAGAAATTTTAAATTTTTCGTGTTTTCAAGAAAGTCTCACTCCAAATTGAGATGTCAAGGTAATTCATGCATCAGTCCGATTTGAATGATCGGCAATTTGTGAATCAATGAAAAATGAGTGTATCCTTAAACTATACTTCGTCTTTACGTACGAAGATTGTTCACAAGATGTATATAGAATACAATAAGTTGCATTATTTTCGGATATACTCGGAAACTGTTACAGTGTGGCTCGTTTAGTTGTTCACGATGCACGGGATTAATTAATAAAAAAATTCATCATAAAAAATTGATTAGTTTCGACTAAATTTTGTTTGTCTATGGAAATCCTATATTATTTTTAATGATCTAATCCTAATTTACCCAATTTGTATCCAACTCATTTTTAATGTCAACCTTTCATGTTGTTTGATATTAGAAACAAGTTAGAGACAAATTAAGAGAATATCATTTTTGATAATAATTCCAGTACGAACAGAGTAGTGCGTTGTTTTTGCTTCTTCAAGGATTTCCAACACCTATGATGTTACACACAATCCATACAACATAAACCTCAACATGCAAATGCTACTTTAACATCATCAAGTAATTCTAATAATATAAATTCTACTGGTAACATCGCAAAATATCGAGTTACATTGTAATACTAATGCTTATTAAGCCTAATTCTTTTTTTTTTGTTACACAATGTGATGTCGGAGAGTCAAAAGCTTACCTAATGGTTTTAAAACACCTAGAAAGTGTTTTAATTGATTGTTAATAATTGTTCGATGATTAAAATAGAGTATACGATCGAATATACGTAGGATAATATTTTGATCCATTTTGTGTCGTTCATTAATATCATTCGAATATTTGTGTATTTCACGATTATAACAGTCAAATGCAGTATGAGTATTGTGTGATGTTCGACCAGTAAAATCCGATAATGTTGTCGACATTAAATGAGTGATAACTCCACTACCACTTATCAACGGTTGCCTATCATTATCAGTACCTTTTGTTATTGAGACATTCATATTTTGACTACGATTTACAATCGAATTTGTTGCATTTGTAAAAGAATTAAAACTCAATGGCATTATTAACGTTTGATTATTCGAATTTGAATTATAAATGGGACGACGTTGTACGTGAGAATTATTTCTGATACTTGTTGAAGATACAGAATTAATATTTTCTAAAATAATAATGACAGTTAAATCGATGCCATAGTCTTGAGTAATCAAGAAATCTTTAGATAACTAAAAACAAAATTTTACTACCACATATCATAAAAAACGCAGACATCCATTCAGCAACTTAAGTCATGTGTGACTTTCATGTAATGACTGTTAAAAAGCGGGACACGAAAAGGAAAAATAAATGGATAAAATAAACTACATTGTTTGATCAAAAATGTGGATATAGAATATTGTTATATTGCGTTGAGTCACTCTGGGATAAAAGCTGAAAAGATCCCAGAAAAATGTCAGAATTGATCTAAAAAAACGAAGAAGTGATGCTGTTAGATTTGCTTGACGGTTTATATTTCATTCAAATGAATAGTTTTATTTCTTGTGCACAATTTGTCCGTGTATTAACGTCTACTATATGTGCATAGAATTACACGTGAAAGATCTGAATGCGTTTACTACTATAGACTAGTAGTAATCATTTCTCATTCACTTTCCAGATGAAAACCATGTTTATTGTACAGTTAAAAGTAGAAACAGAGCGTTTCATTTAAATATTCGAAATATAAAAATACTCATAATACGAATTTAATTCCAGACCAAACAAGAAGTTGATGAAACTTTCTCAGTATATTCATCTTAGTGTCATAATCATTTAGATCTTTCACGAGTAATTCTATCCACATATGACAGACGTTAATACACGGATCAATTGTGTACAAGAAATAAAATTATTCATTTGAATGGAATATAAACTGTCAAGGAAATCTAACGGGATTACTTTTTCATTTTTTTCCACCAATTTTCGTAAATGAGAGTAATTCTGACATTTTTCCGGAATCAAGTCTATTTGTGTTCATCAATTTATAGAGGTATACCTGATGCATTACGTTGAGAGTATGATGATTGTAATCGAAATGTCGAATATTGATCTCTACTACTATTAGGTTCAGACTGTCGTGGTTGTTGTTCACAATCAGAATAGAATGCTTCCTGACATATACGATTAATTTCCGTTAATGGCAAAATTTGTTCACGTTCACATGCTTCCAAAACTTCGCCAGCTGATAAATAATCATTCGAATTATTCAACAGTGTTTCAATGACCGGATTGAATGCATCTTTTTTCGAAATTATACGAATCATTATCGATGTCATAAATAATGAAAATTTTTTAATCATAGGATCTAATATATGCAGATAGGTTAAGCGCGGATACTTTGTGATAGCTAAAACGAAAACAGAGAAGTTAAATAGACTGTTAGACAATGATGTCAACTAGCCTTGTTCAGTTCTCCTTGTGATATCATTTCGATTCGTATGTGCCTTATTTCGATCTTTCAAATATGAGAACATTTCTAATCCACGGTTAGATCGTTGTCGTTCTTTAATCGACGATAAACTTGTTCTATCAATGGCTGTGGATAATTGTGTTGATCGTTGTAATTGTTGCTGTTTACTAGAATGTAAAAATTTTTTTTGATCATCATCTAAATCTCGTTCGTCTAGTTTTTCAAGTTTTGGTAGTGATAATAACATTGCCAATGTTCCAATATCAATTATTTTTGCTTCTTCGAGACAATTCAGTTCTTCTTCGGTAAAATATTCAATACCAATATCCGCAATTTCTTTTAAAAATTCATCAAATAATGATGATGTTAATAAGAGTTTTTGTAAACGTTGTATTTTTCCTAATCGTTCTTGACGTTCTGTTATTCTCGTGCGAAATAAATATAATAATTGTTTGCATTCAACAACATCTTGTTTATAAGATATCATTTCTTGTAAATCAGTCAATGTAATCTCTTTTATATTCGATTTTAATAGAGTATTCAAACGTTCTTGAGGAATAACATCATGAACAGACAAAATACTTCCTATTTGATACTCAAATTCTAAATAAAGATTTACCTTTTTGACAATATGGAGTGAAAGTCTGGCTGAGAGAACATCGAAAAAGAAAATCGATGTATTTTTTACCCAGAATATTTTGACATGATTCTTTTATAGTTTTTGTAGAAAACTCAAGTTTTCATCTGTGTACATCACATATATTCAAAAACTGCATCCGATTATACTCAAAATCGTACCGCCGACGACTGAGGCAACATCTCAGAATGCAAATTTTTCGTTTTGATTTTTTACGCTTTTCAACAACAAAAACAAAGTGTTTTATCGTGAGGGTTTTATCCTTTTTTTATTTGCCGAGAGATAAAGATCAAAAAACCCCAATCAGAAAATTATGAGCAAATACAGAGGTTTTCTTCTTTAACATTCTATCTCTGGTAAGAATTTAAACTCACGAGGGAACCTCTTGAGGTTATAAATCGCTTTTGAACTCGAACTACTTGTATCTTGTAGACCTCAGTGAGTAATGAAATACCCTAAGTTGGTTCATCCCCATGGTGCTTTGTTGCTGAGAT